TCAGGGGTCAAGCACTTGACTTGTAATCTGCAGGTCCGGGGTTCGAATCCCGCCATGTACCAATGTGTTTTTCGATTTCCGATTCACATATGTACATTTATCTGACGTTCTTACGGTGAAGGAAAACATCGTGATGCAACCTGCACATATCTGAGAAGTAATTCAAAGATATGTGTGCAGTCAACCAACTATGGCCTAATCACCCTTAACTTAGGGTAGGCTTCGAGCCCCTCGATGGGGACGTATAGTGAGCTGATGATGTAACTTGAATAAAAGAAATTTATTCATAGGTTTTGGTTAAATGCGATAAACGTGAAAGCTGATTGCCTAATGTTATAACTAGCATAGTCACACATCTTTTTTTATTTATTTATATAAACAAGGAACAAATAGAAATTTACAATAAAGGTGTCTTTGGTTCTACGTTATGAAATGAAACAGTAGGCAAGTTTAATTTTTCTTTTTTGTTTACAGCAAATTAGCTCGCTCATACCATCATATACAGGGTACACAAACGCATTATAATTTTATTAGACTTAGGATTTTAGAACTTGTAATACTCAGAAAAATAAAGGACCCTGTATTATAGTATTTTTGATTTGATAATTATCAGTACATGTTATTCTTCTTTCCAATTACGTTCCCCTTTTACTTTATCCTTTCCTATTCTCTTCACTGTTTATGTTACGAATATTTATTGAACCGTTTACTTTGTGTCTTATTACCATAAACAACAATATCATTTGTCCAAGATGACGTAACAAATGTGTAATCTGTAACTTTGTCACTGCCAGTTACAACCGCATTTGTTATCATCCTCAATGTCTATGGGCAGTGGTTGCTTATTTTGGCGAATTATTGGCCGCTTGTTCGTTTGCCACCATATAATATAAAAAATGGTCATATCCACTGCCGAAATTAAAAATTCACGTTACTTAATAGATGTACCAAATAAGCAAGGTCACAAACATTTGTGAAATAGACAATTTTATTCCAGTTGGTTTCATCGACAAGGCACAATCAAATTAACGACCACACCTAAACTTTACGGACGACTCTAACATAAGATGTTGAGTAAGAAAACATAAAGCAGACTACATTTTATCACACGTTTCGTATCAACATTTTGAACTCGATTTCGGTTAAGTTTATTGCAAATACTTGAAGAAAACACACAGATTTTGTTAATTTTTTGAAAAACAACTTTAACCCCTAATTCGATGGTGTCCAGTGTGACGAACAACTAATTAAAAAAAACCTACTGAACTGGTTTAGAGAAAATTACGTAAATGTGACTTTACTAAAAAAACAGTTTTTTTACAAAAAATTTCGTCGTCGGTTAATGTTACAATATAACTGCAAAAATTAAATAGCAATGTAGCATAATCGTCACATATTGACTTTGACGTTCCGTACTGATTTCATATTCATATTTATTTAGGCGTTCAATTAAAACGATATATGGAAAAAATTAAAATATATAGTAATTAATTGAAATTGAATATACGGCCTCGTTCCGGTTTTTATTGCATAGCTCGCAATCATGCGAAGAGAATCCCAATGCGATACGTGATCGGCATTGCTTCAAGTCGATGCAATTTTATTGAAATAAATAATATTACTATGTTACATTTATACAGTTTACTTAAAAAAAACAAAGGAGTGAGGAAAACATTACACATACATAAAGAAAAAACAAGGATTAGCTTCCGTACTCAGTCACACATACTAATTGTGTCTCTTCATGAACATTTTAAAAGCTGCAACGCATCTGCAATTGTGGATGTCTATGGGCAGACACAAACAGCTTTTTTGATGCTTAGATCTTAAATGATAGTGTGAAATCTTACTAATAATATAAATGTTAGTGTTTGTATAGATGTTTGTTAGAAGGTATATCCGGAACTGCTAAATGGATCTTGATGAAAATTGACACATATATAGAGAATGGTCTGTAAGAACAAAAAGGCCTTAGTTAAGTTTTTTTTTATTCCGCTTGGACATAGTCGTGGGCGACAGCTAGTTGGGAATAAAAGAGTATTTAAATAATAAGACAAAACACAATATTAACCACTATAAATTTCAAAGACTTTACGTTACTTCAAATTATTTTATGATTAACTTTCAGCATTGGATTCCATTTTATTAAGCTGTAATAAAATTTTTAAAACGTTGCAACGTCTGATATTGCAAATACGTTTCAACGTTTATTTGTATATTTGATTAATATTCGTGTAATCGTTCTGCCGATCATTTGATCGGTAATAAAAATATAAACCAACGCAAATAATAAGTTTACGTCAACTCGTGAATGCGGGGGCGTCTCGCTCGGCTAATGTCTGACCACGTCACATTTGATTAACACCAATACTTGCAACATTCACGGTCATTAAGTGACCACTAAGCGTGACACTTAGTGTAGATGTATCTTTATAATTTGTAACGTCTTTCTACAAATTAAAGACAAAACATTACAGTAAACAAATGAAAACGAAGTACTCTATTTCTAAAACTTGCATCTATAATAAATTGTTTTGTTTTTTTTAATTTTGAACCATTTTTGTTTTAATCCGAGTAAATAGATAAATATAATAGTACTTAAAAACGCTTAAAACACAATGAAATAACCACTATAGTTCTCTAGTAACATTTGACTTGAAAAAAGAAACAAATAAAATCCATTGTTGTCAGTCTTTTTTTGGAAAAATCTGAATTTCGGTAAATTCGTAAAATATGCATATTCGTAACTCTACCGTGAAATGTAATCAGGCATTTACTTTACATTTGTCTGAAAAGATATTCTTACTGAAGGACAAAGGGGAAGGAAAGAAATATCAATTTCCCGCGAACTGAATCAATTCTATTGAATTTTATTCTTTGTGAAAATTTTCAAATGAAAATAAAAAGATCACGTTCTTATTGTGCTATGGTGAAATGAACTTTTAAAATACAAAAGCAATATCATCATTAGACGGAAAATTGCAATTATTTTTATCAGGCGGTTATAAAAGCAATAATAGTAGGGCTATATTAAATACTAGTAGTCGCCGGTGACTCCATCTGCGCGTTATTAAAAACAAACACAATTAGTATAGCCTATGTTCTTCCAGGCTATATTCTATTTGTATGTGCAATTTCATCGCGATCCGTTCTGGAGATATTTTCAAACAAACATCCATTCATCCATCGAAACATTCGCATTTATTTGTTAGTAACAGTAAGAAGTAATTGTGCTTCATATAATTTATGTTTTAATATGTTTTACCATGGGTTACCACTCCCGAAATATTTATATAAAACAAATTAAAAATAACTTATGTTTGTCCCACTTAAATGTTTTCTAACATTTAAGTGGGACAAACATAATAAAAAATATGTAAAACTATATTTGTGACAACCCTATCTTCGGGAATCACGTTTAACACCCTGTAATATCTTCAAACAAGCTTATTAACTTGGAAACTAAACATAGATCACGGATAATGAATTTCATGAAAGCATCTAAATATTGATATTATAATATTGTCGCTTAATTTTAATCTTGTACGGTAGTAAGTGTAGTTATAAGATTGAGTAAATTTGATGCGTAATATTTATAAAATGAATTTCCGTTAAGTATTTATCCGTTTTATAACTATATACGGAAAATTATTTTAATTACTTTGTTTTAAATGGGCTACAGTAAGTGGTAGTTTAGATGGATGGATGTTTGTTTGAAGGTATCTTCAAATTAGCTGCATAGATCTCGCTGAAATTTGGCATGGATGTAGAACATAGTGAGGAAGAACACATAGACTACTATTTTTTTTTAATCCCACGCGGACGGAGTCACGGGCGACAACTAGTGTTAATTAAAAATGTTGAACATGCGAAAATGTTTCGTGATCGAATGTCGATGGCGGTCCTTTCTATTAAATAATATCACAGATATTTCTTAAATCCTAAAAAATGTCTGTATAATACCGTCATCTTTTTTCGACACATGATGGAATGTGACTTCTCAATATTTTGACAATCTCACTTAACACACAATAGACTTCTGACATGACAGAGCGATAATTTGCTGTCATTTTATGAAAATCGAATTGGTAGAAGGTAGGCCAAGGGAAGGAAACTCTTTGTGATATAATGAACGCAATAAATTTGCCGGGTTATTTGTGCAAATAAATGAATTTTACTAATATTATAAATGCGATTGTTTGGATGGATGGATGGTTGTTTGAAGGTATATACAGAAAGGCCGCATTTACCTCAATGAAGTTTAGCACATACGTAGAATATAGTCTGAAGGAAAAGACAGGCTACCAATTAAGTTTCTTTTGTAATTCCGAGCGGACAGAGTCGCGGGCGATAGCTAGTAATAAATTAATGTTTCAAATCAAAGTATGGATTTACGAAAAGTAAAGATTAATTTTAATACGTTCCTTAGTTTCGTTATTAAACGTTATTAATTCAGAGACAAAGAAATATACGTAAATTATCAAATCATAATTCAGTTCTTAATCCGTTGGAAAGAAACAAATCCATGTAAGATCCTGGTGGAAACTTTCATATCGCACGTATCAACAAATCAAACCTCTGTCAATATAAATTATATTAACCAGTTAAAAATGTTTCCTAAATAATTAATATCTCCGATATCGTAATCGTTAATCTTGAAGGTTCTAATTATCCTTCTGCGAAAATATATCATAGGTTCAGAATACGAACATACAATCAAGAGATCATATATAATTCTAATACTTACTCTCTCTCAATCTCTATAATTATATGAAATCCTAATTAGCTAAACATAACTATTATATTATAATTTTTTATAAGTATTTCGAAAAAAATGTTTACACCATCGATATTTTTATTTTTGCGCGATTATTTAATAAAAATAATAAAAAAAAATATTATCAAACTAAATTAAATTTAAAAAAAAAACTATGTTATACGCTTTCTATAATTTTCTATTGTCAGGTTAAAAATGTTGTAAAGATAATTTGTTAACTTACCAATAGTCACATCAATTTGAGGTAAACAAATTTTTCCATATAACCGCGTCGATCATCAATCATTGGCGATTTTATGACCGCAAGCCATCTGTCACTCTCCCTTGAGCCAAATTAAACTTTAACTAATGACGGTAAAATTAAAAATAGATATTAAAACACGCACGAACTTTTAAACGTCAATAAAACACATTTTAAAGTACACAAAATCTAATAAGTTTACAATTAAATAACTATTAATAATATGGAATTATTATAGTTTGAATTATTTATAAAATATTATTAATAATAGAGTTTTGGTATACGCTGAAAGTTGCGTTCACCAAGCGTTCGTTTAGAGGCGGCCTAACGGCGTTGTCTCACAGATTGGACTGGAGTCAAACGCAAGTCCTGAACGGGACGTTACGGGAAGAACTGTGGACTGCGCATGGTTCGGCACAAATTATCTCAAAGTGATGCTAAAGTTTGAATGAAGTTATTTTTAAAAATATTACATTGCAGATCTATTCAGACTAATGTATACATAATTTTGGGAAGTTCGTAGTAAATATTGAAAATACATTACGTTGATGCAGAAAATATTCAGCTGCAATGCCATTTGGAATTAAAACCACAACAATGATACGAAACGATAAATAAATTGGATATCTATCGACAAAATGAGATGTGGAATTCATACGATTTGGATCATTTACGTCGCTTCAGTTATTATAGTATTGTAATGATATTTAAAATTTAATTATAAAATAAGGTAGACTAGAGTTCATGTTCGGTTTCATCAAGTTCGATAATTCATCTTTTAAATCGATGTTTCGTAATTCGTCGCTTCCTTCTAATTCATGACACATCGATGAAATAGTGAAGTGACAGTTGTCCATAGACATACGCAAGTGCATATGCGTTGCCTACCTTCAATCGACGGAGGAGAGGATGCATAGATAGAAATTATTTACCCTTACCATGCATCCTCTCATTCACGCCTGTCTTCTGTGTGGTAATTAATTTATATATTGTGAACTCATTTAGTATTTATTTTAATTCTCTTTATTCCGCAAATCCGTCGCAATATTCAGATTTTCTAATAATGAAATATATTCTTGTTAATTTCTTTTTCTTTGTTTTAACAGTAAAATGCTATATAAAAGTGACAAACAAAGACGATCTTAAAGTGTCTTAAAATAGTTATTTGTGTCACCACGCTGTGGCTCGCACAAAGGGTTAATCAAGATTATGACGAGAGATCCGACGTGATAGAGTGCGGCTTACACCAAAAATATAGAGACAAAATTAAAGTTGCTTGATAGTCAAGGACACAGATATCGACTAAAAATCCTAGTACTATATACTACGATATTAGCAGGCATCTAATCTTTCTTATAACATGAATTCTGAGACCTTATTCTTGACGTGTATAACTATAACGGGAGCGTCGGTGGCTCAGTGGTCAAGCACTTGACTTGTAATCTGCAGGTCCAGGGTTCGAATCCCGCCATGTACCAATGTGTTTTTAGATTTCAGATTTACATATGATCACTTAATCGGCGTTCTTACGGCGAAGGAAAACATCGTGATGCAACCTGCACATATCTGAGAAGAAATTCAAAGATATGTGTGAAGTCAACCAACCCTCACTTGGCCAGCGTGGTTGACTATGGCCTAATTACCCCTAACTTAGAGTAGGCTCCGAGCCGCTCGGTGGGGACGTATAGTGAGCTGATGATGATATATATCATAATGTACAACCAAGGACCATGTTTCCAATTTCGGGGTAATATTAACGCCCACAATTTTAGTTCAAATAGTTGTCATAGCAAGATACAAACGTGCAAAATTATGGCTCTTGCCTTTGCTTTCTGAGACCAAAATCTCTGTATAAATCATATCACTATTCCTCTCATTATCTTTGAGAGAACAGAGTGAACAATATGTTTTAAAGATGTTGGTATCAAAAACCCACGGTTATACAGTTTTCTCGCTAACAACAAACGCGAATTCGATTCTTTGTATTGATAATGTACATACATTATTAATCCAGATGTGGCTATGGTTCAGCTATCAGCGGAAATATTTGTCGTTGATGTTAAAATGAATGCAATACTTCATATCCTTGTGATTGTTGAATTGCGTCTCTGCCATCGATAGCATCAATAATAACTATGAATATTATTTAATTATTTGCACATACACAATATGCAAAAATATTATGATATCCAGGATTTTGAAAAAAGAACGAAAGAGTTGGCAATGTAAGTTTTGTGAAAGTTGAAAACTGAAGCTACACAATGATAAAGATTGTATTATTTATAATCTACATTTTTTCGAATGCTGTCATTTTTCAATGACTTTTCACACAAAATAGTCACAATTTATTTAATAAAATAAATAAATATGAAATTTTATAAACGTTTTTATCGTCGAACATTAAATTTTTAAATCAATACGAGTATTGTTTTGATACTGCAAAGCAGCACTTTCTGTAGTTGCATTTTATTTTGCTAAATTTTCTTTTCTTAAATGAATACCTTTTTTGATATTTTGTTTACCTGAGATATAAGAGGAAAGAGTTTTAGTAAAATCATATTTCGCTAAAAATTTAGTGACCAAAATGACAAGATCAAATATTTGTTTTGCTCTACTCTGAAGGTTATTCCAGGCAATGCCAGAAAACATATTCTTTCCTTTATGTCACCTTGTAATCTACCTTAGCAATCTGTCTTGTCTACTATAATATTTATTTCATTAACGTTAGATTCATTCTTAATGCTAACAAGATATTAACCTAAGACTATTTGTAAACTAAGATACCTTTTCAATGTACAGATTTAAGGCATTCCGTGTAGCTATGTCTTTGAAATGTAATGAAGATTGAATATGTAGGCGTTACTTACGTAGGGTAGAAAATGGAATAACATTGGGTAAGTTAGGTTTGATACCGAGAAAGGTTCTCTCTGGAATATTCAGAATACGTTTTGATCCGGGTTAATAAAAGATATTTATATAAATATAATGTTTTTACTTATATTATAATGTTTATGTAGAGGGAATAGACGCGATTAAAAAAATTATCTTGTTCTAGAACATCTAAAAGATATGAGCAAGGCTTATTCAGGAAATAAATGTTTTTAAATTAATCCTATTTAAGTTTTGTACACTGCGGAATATATAAATTTATAGGATTTAAAAGTCTATTTAACGCATGATAGAACTTTCTATTCTCGACTGTACAGCAGCAAATTCTAATTTAGTGCTTCTATATCACCGTGGTCTCGCAGCAACGGCTACGTTGTAAACTTTTCTCGATAATCCGTGATCTAAACTACGCTATAGGTTAAGAGCTTAAGAGTTTCCTAAAGTTTAATATTATGTTAACCAACACAGTAGACAGAGGGGCCAGTGATCAGTAAAAATTTCTTATAAGTAATGGGGCTAAATGATACTTGAACGCGGTTATTACTAACATGATTTATAGTTGATTTCCGTGACTAAAATATTTGTGTAAAACATATAATCATCCCTATCATTATCTTTGACAAAACAGAGGTGACAATATGTTTTATACTGTGATGTTTGTATCAGAAACCAGCGATAAATCTAATTATTCAGACATTTTTTGTAATTCTGAATTCGTGAAGTTCATTTTTATCACGGAAAAAATAAATTCTGTAGCACATTTCTTGAACTAAACTGGCGCCGTCGTAGTATTTGCTTTTAGTAATTGTGTTTATACGTCGCTCATGAAAAAGCATCCCTAATAGATGACATGATTGCGTCCGCCCGATAACATCAGCTAACCAATATCTGACCTTACACGACGTCTGTTATGAGGGTAGTAAATCCCCTCATTTCCTTTTCCATTTACTTTTAATTATAGACTAAACGAAACTATACGCTTTGTTTTAGTTTCTTTTAAAACAGACTAAAACTTCGTTCTTCCAGTAAACGAAAAAAGTGTCTTATTTTTTTTTATTTATTAAAAAAAATAGCAGCTTAATTTTAATTAATACGAAAATCTTTATTTCTTAATTTCATCAAGCGAGAATTATCGTAAAACCTTTTTTTATGTTTATCCTAAATCCTCATGCAATTTTATAAAATATTAGTACCCATGTTATCGTCTTGCCTACTTTAAAACCTTTTTACGTGTCAGAGAATTTTGTGCTAAATGCAACTTTTATACGGAAAAAATATTTTAGCAAAAGGTGGGAACATTTTGTAATATATTTTAGTAGAATCTACTTTAATGAAAAACAAGCATATGTCCATGTTACATTAGACGTTTTTTTTCTAATTTATATTTGTATAAGAATTGAGAGCTTAATGAAAAAACATCCTAAAAGCCGTTAATGCATTATTATCTCCATATAAATTGTAAGTGAATGATAATAAAAAAATGATATCGTTAATAGCATTTGTTATCTATAAAATTATCTGCTCCGATAATTCCAGTAGGCGCATGGATTTTTACTACGAATTTACTTGATCGTAATTTTAACATACGCCGTTGTACTCTTAAATTTTGGGCCAGGAAATATTTTCATATTTTGATTCCACGTGTACATTTTTTTTAAGAAAATGATAATTTTTACAGATACTTCGTCTGTAGAAAGTTACGGTTAAAAATACAGGCTGAATATTATTCTAAGAGAATAAAAAGAAAAAGGCTGGGTAAGTATACACGTGATATGAGGTAACTTATTTAAATTGCCTACGAAAGTTTGCCGGTACTTTGAAGGTAGTGCACGGTGAGGGAGAATTGGAAAAGTTTTAAGTTAATATCTGTTATCAGAACAACGCTACGCCACATCAAACGGGCCGTCACTCTCATTTGAAAGTTTCTTAAATTGAAAACAGGATGTGGTGTTTTATTATGTACTAGTAACATATCCCAGCTTTGTTTACGTATATATCGTACTATATAAAATCAATGTTTGTATGATTGTCCTTAAGTCGCTGGACAAATTATATATAAACTTTAGGAGAGCAAACTCAGTTACCAAATATCCAGACAAGGTTTAAAAGAACTACTTTTACACTATGACAATATACTTACCGTTGGTTTCTGAGACCAAAATTTATAAAACACGCTGTCATTCCTGTCATTATCATTGGCAAAACAGTGATAACTATATCTTTAACAGAGGTTAAGGTCTCAGAAACCCATTA